AGATTTTGTTTTGGCGGTAACTAAATGCTTTCAGATCAAAAGACAAGGCATTAAAACTGTTTGAGACATTTCTCACTGGCTCAGATCAAGACTAAACCTTATAGAGCTTTGCTCATAAGAACTCAATGCATTTTTATGCAAAAACAAAAAGTAGAAAGAAAGAATATAAGTTGGAAAAACAAAATAAATATCCGCAGGATGTACCATCATTACCTTTACACACAGATTCTCTGACTTCCTTTTTGAATTAGTTTCACTTCGTGGTTTGATTTAAAGAAAACAAGAAAACTTGTTCCCCAGATGAGTAACAAATAAGTGTTTTTACCCAGCTGTAAAAAAAAAACTAAGGCACTTTTTTTTCCTTTACACAACCACAMCTTTTCGCTTTTAATACAATAAAAGAATGCATTCAATAATGAGATAAACAACTCTTACAAAAAATGTTCTCTAAATACATTTACATAAATAATGTTTCAAGAAACTCACTCCCTCAAATGAAATCAGTCAAGAGGTCTAAACTTGGTCTGCATCAATCTAAACTCTGAGAGATTGGTTTCTGTTATTCATTTTTTTCAGACTGATCTTTTCAGTATTTTCAAAAGCCAAAATGTCAAAAGTATTATAATAAATAGAATCCCAACTCTGTCATATTGCATCATATTTAGTGGCAGAGGTAAAGTGTATATAAAGTACTTAAAAGAAATAACTTAGTAAAAATAAAAAAATACCTTAACAGAAAGTAACTTGGATAAAACTTCACTGATTAAAAAGTACTTAAATAAAAGTCATAAAACTGCTCACAATAATCGGGAAAGTATAAAAGTAAAGAACTTTTACACACACTCTAAAAAATGAAGTGTCAAATTTACCCAATTAAAATGGTTCCACTAAACCGAGTTGAGTAAATTCTGCAATTAAATAATCTTGTAATTTGTTTACACAGTTTAGTGGAACCAGTTGATATAACTTGGTTAAATAGGTTTTTTAGAGTGCATAAACAACATCTTTCCCTGATGAGTTTAGTCATATTTAAATTAGCAACTTTGATTTAAAGTAAAGAAGTAAACGTATAATTTTTATGTTTCAAATGTATCAAAATAAAAGAAAAGTTACGATTAAATAAAATCCTGAATAAAACTGAGTACTGTTCCAAAGTAAATGTACTTAATTATTACACATCTCTGTTTAGTGGAGTGCTCATGTTGTGTTATTAAAATCTTCAAATTACTTTTTATGGAGATCAAAAATGAGAGCTACAAGTTTAATGTCAGATGCTGAATTATGTTTTTAGAGGGTTTACATACCCATTACACGCTTTAAACAAAGCTGAAGCTCCTGAGTCAGAGGCAGTTCTCACTCCTGACAAAAATCTGTATTTTTGCTGATGATTCATACTGAAACCAGCTTTCTGTCTGATGTGTTCTGTCTGTCACGAATCATGAAATGAAACACATGTCCAAAATGTCAACCTGAATGCTCATTTGATTGTCTCAGCAACCATCTAAGCACCTCTCCATGTTATCAGCAAAGACTACTCTTTACAGTCTTTGTTCCAGTAGGTAAAAAACTGTGCTGATGCTACTTTTAAACATTTCCGAACGTTTCCAGTTGCTACCGGGGGCTTTTTTTTTTTTTAAACCAGGGTGTCAAATGACTTCCTCCAGTTCATATCATTAATTTGATAACCTTACAAAAATAAATTTCAGGGGCAACTGTTACGGGGTTAATTGTTCTGTGCAGAGTGTTTAATTCAGACCAGGGTTTGTCATCTCAGTGACTCTTCTTGTTGGGTCATGCTCTCCAYATGATGACAAATAAGGGTCGGACACCTTGAAGTGTTTCATGATATTTTTTATTATTATTTATAACTCAGACAGGAATCACATGGAGAAAAGTGTATTTTTTAAGCTTTAAATTTATATATTTCCTTTTAACATGCTCTTATTGTGAGAGACGATGAATTCAATGCTATGTTCAGTTTTTCTGTTTTGTTTTGTTTTTGCACAAAGAAAAGTTTAAACTTAAGATGAGGTGTGAATGTGTTTTTCTGCAGACCTTTATAAATGAGGAACTTCTGATTCCGTTAAACTGATAAAACATCAACCYTTCACACTCGACACAATGGCTTCCCCCTTTTTTTTCTTCAACTTTGCACTGGACAAGTGAGGGACAAATGCGTGTGTGTGTGGGGTTACACATGTGTGCATGTGACCTCCGTCTYTCTGTGTCCTACACATCTGTAACCATCTCCCTGATGCATGCTCGCCTCTTTCTTTCCTCAAATAAAAACAATTTATAGGAAGAAAAAGAAGAAGAAATGATCGAGAACAGGAGGGGGATAAAAGAGTATCCATGGGAATCTTAGCACGTCAGGCAGGCCTTTTCTCCCTCCTTCTCATCCGCCCTCTTGCCCCCGCTGCACCCACGGACCAATGCAATTGTTTATTTTCTCCCATTGAGGCTGCTCCATTCACTGGCTCTCACATTTACCCTGCTCAATTGGAGTGAGACAGCACTTATTGGAGGAGAGGAATGTAGCGTTCCACTGACAGAGCAGCAAGAATGCAGCCGAAATAATGAAACTCCTTACCTCCGAGGAGAAGGTGCAGCTGAGGGCGAGAAACATCGAGCCAAACAATGTGGAGTGACAGGACTCTGTGCTGTGATGAGTAAATCTATACATCACCTGGACACTAAAGTAAAGAAGRGTTTGACTAAAAGTGGAGTGTGGATCTCATAGGATCTTATTCTGCATGKTCTCCCTCCAGAACAAAGGGCTACTCATCTCTTTCCCCAGTAAAAAGGAGGAAAGTTACAGTTCTGACAGTTCTTCTCTACTGAGGAATGTTTACTTTGTTTTTGTCTTTTTATTTTCTGCAACCTTTTACCTAACATTAGCTGACATCTGAAAGCACCTCAGCTTCTCCCCTGGCATCATTTGGTGGCAGCAGTTTGATTCTGATATAAACCAGGGGTGTCCAGTTTTGGTCCTGTAGGTTTTACTTGTTTCGCTACTCCATCACATCTGATTTGAGTGAATGGGTGATTAACAGGCTTCTGCAGAACTTGAAGAGGTAATTCAATCACTGAGTCAGGTGTGTTGGAGCAGAGAAATGCAGGATAGTGGACCTCCAGGACTGGACTGGACAGATGTAAACAAGACAAATAGAAATCTGGACAATAATATTCAGAAATGAGGGTAGATTGCTGCAATCACTGCACGTTAATAAAACTAATACATAACTGAACATTAAAAGGTTGTATTTTTAAATGAAAATGGTTTAATCTTATTGCGTCAAACAGTTTTGTATTGAGGGTCCTGTGTTCACTCTGTTTTCATGTATTGCCACAAGCAGAAGGCATGAAACACAAACCACACATTTTGATCTGATAACAAAATGATTCATTTGCAGTTATGAAGGCCTAAAAAATAATTTATCTCTGATCACTTCCAGTAGATGCTGCCATTTCAAAAACCACAAAATTACAAAAAAAAACCCACTTAAAAGTGATTTTAAAAAGACTTTTTTTACTGGAAAGAAACTGAAATATTGTGCAATTTCAGTTAAAAACAGCTAAAAACCTACCTTTCATAAAACCTTTTTTAAATTTATTTAAAAACACAAAAATAAACTATACTTTTCTATCTAAATGTTTTTATTTTAATGTTCATCACTTTTTGGCATTACTTTAAAATAAAGCAATAACTAAATAATTATAAGGCAGTTAATAATTAAGCTGTAAAGACTTAATAAATGCCATTAATTTACAGTGAATCATGATAAAAAGGGCTTTTTTAAACCAGATTGGATGACTTTTATATTGTTTCATTCTCTGTGTTTCCCTGTATTCTTAGTGGTTTAGATTTTTATTATCAAATATTAAATTAACCTGTAAGCTGGGGAGTGTTTGTAGACACCATTTGTTCCAGTTTAGTTAATGAAAAATGTAGGAAGTAAAAAAATAAGTAATAAGCAAACTTAAGATTAAGCTTTTTAAAATGTAATAATAAATCATAAATAAAATCATTCTTTCTGTAAAGAGTTACCCTTTTATCTAGAAATAAATCTTAATATTAATCGTTGAATGTAAAAGTGCATAAAACTAATTTCTAACTGAGAAACTGTTCAGCCAACATGCAGAAAAAAACACAACATCAGAACACTAAAAATCTACAAAAACACATTAAATTTGCTTCAGTTTTAAAAAGATGAACGACTTCAGTCACACCGCAGAACTCATGAAACAAAACAACCACTTTTGTCAGTAATGATCAAATAATTTCCTCTTGTTCTTCTGCAGTGGTTAAAATAACCTGTATTTTATTTTTCCAGTGTTGAAGGGTATAATTAATAAAACATAATATTAGCAATTTTATTGATTCTAAAAGAAGTGTTTAATTAGTCTGAATTAATTAACAGAAGAAAAAAGGAAAAGCAAAACTAAAGAAAAAAAAACAAGATGGAAAAATAACATTTGTTTAAAAACAAGAAGCAGGCTGTTAAATGAGGTAAATCGTACCTGCCCCCTACTGTTTACCTACATGTACGACACAGAAGAGCAACAAAAACACCGGTCAGGTCATGAGAGGACATTTCGGGGTAAAGATGCTTCTTCTCTGGACAAAGTTTTTTTTTTTGAAAAAGTATCGTTAACACACTGCAGTGATGATCGAGCTAAACTTAAATTCATTTTGAAAATCTTCCAAACACCAGAGCTTTGTTTTGCCCAGAGTCATGTTCATAATGTTTTAAATGATGAACTTTTTTTTGCTTTATGTCTGCATCTTTTCAGAGGCATGGGGAAACTCTTTCAGGAGAAGTGATGGCAGACAATAGACGACAGCTCTGAGGGTATAAGAGAAAGAGAGGTGAAGTAGGGTCTTTTTTTTTCTTGTGGTTTACATTCGCAATATCGAGYAGCAGTGTGTTGAGCAGGTTAGAGTGACTTCAGTGCCTCAGAGCAGCAGCTGCACTACAGAATCTGTCTCTGATCTCAGCATGGGGGAAAACTATGACTATGATGATTACAACAACACAATGGATGGAAATGAAACGGATGGATGTTTGGTCTCCAGCCTTCATGATTCCAACATCTTACTGCCCGTGATTTATTACGTCATATTCTTCACAGGATTTTGGGGCAACCTTTTCGTGATATCAGTGGTGGGAAGCAAAGCAAAGAAAAGTCGCCTGGTGGACACCTTTGTTGTCAACCTGGCTCTGGCCGACCTCRTCTTCGTCCTCACGCTGCCGCTTTGGGCCGTCTCTGCCAGCCAGAACAACAACTGGAACTTTGGACTGGCCAGTGACATGCTGTGCAGGCTGAGCAGCTACGTCATCGCTGTCAACCGYTACTCCAACATCTTCTTCCTCACCTGCATGAGCGTCGACCGCTACCTGGCCATCGTGAAAATGATGGACTCCAGGTACCTCAGGAGCRGCCAGTGCATCCGCATCACCTGCRCCGGTCTCTGGATCACCTCCCTGTTGCTCGGCATCCCGTCTCTGGCGTTCCGACAAGTAGTGGTGTTCAACGATGAGCAGGCCTGTCAGGATGACACCAGCTCCAAGTTTTTCCTCGTCACCAACCTGGTCATGTCGCTCCTCACCTTCATCTTCCCCGTGTTGATCATCGTGCTCTGCTACGGGACCATCCTCCTGCACCTCAACAGGCACTGCGTCACTGCTGGGAACCTTGGAGCCAAAGCCCGTCGCAGACACTCGCTGAAGATGGTCCTCTGTATCATCGTGGCCTTCGTGGTCTCCTGGCTCCCCTTCAACATCTTCAAATCGATAACGACAATATCGCAGCTCACCGACGTCGAGTTCGACTGCGACACTCAGTTCTGGCTGGTGAACGGGAGCCTGGTCTCGTGCTGCATGGCCTTCTTCAACAGCTGCGTGAATCCCGCCATCTACTTTTTCCTGGACCACCACTTCAGGCGACGGGCGCAGGTGCTGTACAATGCSTGCGCTGGGAAGCCAAAAATGCTGCAGAGCTCCTCGGCTTCCTACACCAACGGAGCCACTTCAGAGAGCTTGCCCACAAACGGTGGGCGATCTCAGCTTCACATGTCTCAGTAGGAGGATGAGGACAGATCAGCAGTCAATATTTTCAACTTCACCTAACATCAGTTTCACAATTTGGGACATTTTTTTCATGACTCCAGAAAAACCGTAACAAATGAGTTTTTTTTTCTTAAAGGCTGATTTTTGTGTTGTTGCTTTCATTTATTTTGTTTCGTGTTAAGTCTCTTAAAATATTAAACATGCTGTTTATTTTGATTATATTAAACATTATATAAGTTAGTATCAGAATCTTGTTTATATGAAAAATAAAAAAAGCTGTTAAAAAGTTGTTAAAGTTTCAAAACTTTTTCCCCTTTCAAACTGGCATTAATCAGTTTTGTACAATATGTGTACACATTTGATTTTAGTAAAAGTATTAATGACCAGCATTGTTTTAAACATTTTTATTTTGTTATTTGTATTAATTTCTGTACAGTAATGTGAAAAAATGTTTTAAAATTTTGATATGAAAAATAAAAAGCAACAAAAAGAAATCTAAAATTTTTGATTGATGAAGCTGAAAATGATGAGAACTGTTTTGTTTTACCTCGGTGAAACTGAGCTTCTTGTGTGTTTGATTCATGGAATTTAGATAAAAGAAAAACTTTTTAATTTATTTTAAACAAAAGTCACACAGGGTAATGTAAATATTAACACAGCTCTTAAATGAGATGTTTTTTATGCAAAGGTTACAGTTTAACAGACAAAACTGAATTTTTGTRTTTTAGTGAGTTTGAATTAAAATCAGCTCAGCACAGAGCCCATGCTTTATCTCATATTAATCAGACKTTTTAGGTTTGCCTCTCAAATTTTACCCTTAAGACTGAAAATGACCACACAGGAAAAAGAAGTGTTTGCTTTAGTTTTAATTTCCTAATGACATTTTGGTTTGTGGCATCTTTAGGTTTAATGAGCTGCAAAGACATGATTATCAGTTTCAGAGAAAGGCAYACTGATGTGTTTCTGTGAAAAGGGTTGTTTAAACACAGATGTTTAGCCGGTTCAGTTTAGCTGGTTTAGCTGACTGTACTTCTTTTCTAAACAAGTTTATTTCTCATATCTGGTGGAAAAAAATTGTTTCCCACAGTTTGAAGGCCTTGACTGCTCTCTGAGGTTTTGTATCTTCTTTTAAGTCGACCTGTGACAGCTCTACTCTGTGCACTTTGTACACGGTTTGACTGATATTGTTTGTTGTCTTCTTGGCTTCACAGAGAGCAAATACACGCCAAAAAAAAAGAAGAAGAAGAAGAAGAAAAGTGCTCTTCATGCAGTATTTTCTTGTAAAGCTCTGCTCTATAGAAATTAAACATGATCTGCTTTTATATGTCAGTTTACAAGAGGAAACGAACTAAACAAGAAGAAAAATCAAAGAYGAAAAGAACAACATGACAAGTCAAAAAATTCACACCGTCACAACAGGAAACAACAAACTTCTTGCTAAAGAAGAAAATACAAAAATTCTCACGAGGCAGATCCRGTTCACAATCAAAACAAGAAATGAATAGGATTTATTTGTTTAAACCTCTTTAGTCACAGGTTGTTTCTTTTAGCAAGACACCTGTCAGAAGCTGTGTACCCAGAGAGGAAGTCTGCATGTTACACACTTTGAAGACTTACAGTATGAACAAGCGCCGTCATTCCACCACGAGAAGCAACCTTTGTTACTAGAATTTAACTTCTCAGAATTCAGAGTGGCTGCTTGATTGTGAAAGGASAGTCTAGTACTAGAAAGTTCAAATGTTCATGCTTGCCCACTCCTGTTTCAGGTGGTAATTTATGAATCAGAGGGTTTCAGAGCTGAGTGAACCAGGTTAGATGCCAGGCTAGGGTCAGGACTTTCCCATCTGGTGCCTGAAGAAGCCGTTGGTGAGGATTTGACGTGTACTCTGACCCGCTGACTCCTGGTTCAACTCCACTTTACCGCTTGAACACTCACGGTTTCYTCACCAGGTTCAGTTTTCTTTACTCAGTAGTTTGTTGCGGGTGCAGACCTGGGTAGAATGATTGTACATCATTTTATCATATATGTATATATAGGGTTGCACATAAAATCTTTGGTCTGGTTCTCAGGGGAGAACCTAGGGTTGTTGCTTGGTGCTCATATTTTCCTTCACTCATTTAACACATTTATCTAGAGGGGCATCACAGGGCATCTAACGTCCCCCTGTTCTGTTTTATGACTCCTATCAGCTGCAACATCTCAGGACATCATGTCAAATCAGTCCAACAAGTTTTTTAATTTATTCTTTCACTCTGCATAAATTTTGTAAACTACATAAGTGGCTGAGGGGCTGGGTGTATGTCATATAAACATCTCAAACTGAACATTTCATGGTTAAATGTCTTTTAGACTAACATGTCCTTCAGATGGACAACTCCTGTTTGGTCTTCTGGATCTTTGGCCTTGGTTAAACCAGCTTTCCACACTCTCCAGTCCAAGCAGCAAATACAGTATCTGTCTTTTGCACAGAGCAAAATAACTTAAAACATGCAAATGTTTTATTTGTTAGACTGATTTCTTTTAAAAAAAACTATTTTATTCAAAAATATTATACTATTTAGATGGTTTCAGCTCATGTAATTATTTATTCTTCGTATTTGATCGTTCAATAAATTACATTTATCCCAGAAAAGATGTATCACAGCATGGTCCTAAATGTTTAGCACATCAAGAACCTTGTTTTTTATATAAAATTGTGAATGAAATTTGTGGGTCTTTATGATAAATTAAAATAAGATTTAAAACTCTTTCACCTAGAGAACATGGCAAGTTGTTTTCATTTTTTAAATATTCATATTTTTTTGATTGGGAAGAATCATCTTTGTTTTAATATGGGGCAAACAAATGTTCTGTTAGTTAATGTGGTTTAATCAGAAAAACTCAGTGAATCTCACAGACAGCCTGCACGCACAGCAACGCGCTCATACAGCAGTCTCTCAGGAGGAGAGTTTAGTCACTCACACAGAGTTGGACAGATCTGTTCAATAACAAC